ACTGATAAATGTATTTCTTTTCCAGGCTGTTGTCCATTGCAGAAGAAACTTTAGCGGAGTTTCTTTCAAAGGCCACTGGAACTGCTGTAGAGTGGGTCCAAATGCCTGGAATGAAGGGTATACCCTAATACTTCAAAACTCACTTATCTTCTCGAGGACTTTTTTTATTCTTTTAATGGGTTTGCCGTGTCTTTGTTAAATTGTAATTTTATGTGTAAATTTTTGTTAGAATGCAATTGCTTCATTAAGCAGCATTGATTTTAATCCATTCCGTGTATCTTTTTTATTTGAACAGCCTGGTCCGGATTCCATAGGAATCGTTGCTATTCTCATGGTTGCCCTGGAGTGGCAGCACGTGCCTGCGGCCTTGTGGGTCTTGAACCTACAAGGGTAAGTCTAACCGTTAAAATGTCCTCTTCTCATTGATATTGAACTTTAAAGCTCAAACAGTTATGCCTTCCAGGTTGCAGAACTCCTCAAGGATAGGCCTTCGTGGTTCCGCGATTGCCGAGCTGTGGATGTTCTAAATGTGCTGCCTACTGTCAATGGTGGAACCATTGAGTTGCTGTACATGCAGGTCAGGGATCACTACTCTGTTGTGGCAAGATTTTATTGGTTCTTTGTTGTTTAATTAATACTTCACATTTTCTGATATAGCTCTATGCGCCAACTACATTGGCGCCTGCTCGACTGGTTGTTGCATATACTTCTGTTCTAGAAGATGGAAGCCTTGTGGTATGTGAATAAGCTGGTTTATTTTGGATGTAAGACAATGAATGGCACATACAAACACGCCTACCTTTTTTCTCATAAATAAAAACTTCTTCCTTAAATGCCTTTTGCATTGCTTAGGTTTGTGAGAGGTCCCTGAAAATACTCAAAATGGCCCTAGCATGCCTCCAGTGCAGCATTTTGTGAGAGCAGAAATGTTTGCGAGTGGATACCTTATTCGACCTTGTGAAGGGGGGTGGTTCAATTATACACATTGTGGATCATGGATTGGAGGTATACTTTTCCTTTTTATGTAAATTATCTTCAATGTTCTAAACTATAGGTATTATCTAAACATAATTTGGGTGTTTCTCATCAACCAGCCGTGGAGTGTGCCAGAAGTGTTGCGCCGCTTTATGAATCTCAACAGTGCTGCTCAGAAAGTGACAATGGCGGTAAGATTTTTTTACCGTTAGTGTTTATGTGTTTTCGCCCTTGTCCTTTTGTTGTCATGGAAAATTGAAACGTTTGGAGGAAGGCTTGCAATGTTCAGAATTATCATAGCTGTAGCTTTAGAAAATGGTGAAGATCTTTTTTCTTTCTAATTTTCCTTTAGGCTTTACGGCAACTGAGGCAGATAGCTCAGGAGGTTTCTCAACCTAATGTGACTGGCTGGGGTCGACGACCAGCAGCCTTACGGGCACTTAGCCAGAGATTGAGCAGGTTAGTTTCGAAGTGCTTGTCATAAAGCATTTCTGCCTGTTAAAATTTATATGGATTTAAAACCTGTTAGATGATTTCTAATAGGGGTTTTAATGATGCTGTCAATGGTTTCACTGATGAGGGGTGGTCAATGATGGGAAATGATGGCATGGATGATGTTACTATACTTGTGAACTCTTTCCTGACAAGCTCATGGGCCTCAATCTTTCATTGCTAATGGTTTTCCATCTATCAGCAATTCAGTCTATGTGCGAAAGCCTCATGCTTTTACAGGTGAGGATGCTGTGTTTTGAAGAACTACTTTGTGATGCTTTCTTTGGAGGGCTTTTTCTTTTCCCACCACCTATCTCTGTCAAAACTGAGAATCCTAGTATCTGAATATTTCTAACACCTGCATAGTTGCAATTATCATATTGACATGTCTTTATTTTGTTGATATATATAATTGCTCTTTGGTCTCTCGTTTAGAATGTTCCTCCAGCAATCCTCCTTCGTTTCCTACGGGAACACAGATCAGAATGGGCTGACTGCGGCATTGATGCTTACTCAGCTGCGGTTGTAAAGTTGGTCCCTGTAGTATTGACATGTCTTTATTTTGTTGATATATATATATTTGCTCTTTGGTCTCTCGTTTAGAATGTTCCTCCAGCAATCCTCCTTCGTTTCCTACGGGAACACAGATCAGAATGGGCTGACTGCGGCATTGATGCTTACTCAGCTGCGGTTGTTAAAGTTGGTCCCTGTAGCCTACGAGGATCTCGAGTAGGAGGTTTTGGCAGTCAAGTATACTTCCCCTGGCACACTATTGAACATGAAGAGGTAAGAATATTGAATTTATATCACTTAAAATGTCATTAGTTTCAAATTTTGAACTTTCCGCGTTGATGATTTAGCCATTTGGGTTTGACTTATGTTTAGTAATGTCATGTGACCTTTTTTATACTATTATTAGTCCTTAGAGGTGATTAAACTGGAGGGAATTGCACAATCTCCTGAAGATGCACTAATGGCAAGAGATGTTTTTCTCCTGCAAGTAAGAATTGTTGTTTTCACTCTACTTGTTATGGACCTTGTTCTCTTTGTTATTTGTAAGTTCTATGTTTGCGTAAATCACTTTACTGTGCTATTGTTTTATAGCTATGCAGTGGAATGGATGAAAATGCTGTGGGCACCTGTGCTGAGCTTATATTTGCTCCCATAGATGCTTCTTTTGCTGACGATGCACCTCTTTTACCTTCTGGTTTCCGCATCATACCTCTCGATTCTGGGAAGGTTAGCCTCTTTCTATCATGTTAAGCCGGTGCTTTCTTAGGTTTCCTTCATTTGTGAAGTTTCTTAATAAGCACTGGGAAGTGATGCAGGAAACCTCTAGTCCAAATCGCACTCTTGACCTTGCTTCTGCTCTTGAGATTGGGCCAGCTGGAAATAAAGCGTCTAATGATTATCCTGGTAGTGCTGGTTGTATGAGATCTGTGATGACCATAGCATTTGAGTTTGCTTTTGAGAGCCACCTTCAAGAACATGTAGCATCTATGGCCCGACAATATGTCCGTAGCATTATATCTTCAGTTCAGAGGGTGGCATTAGCACTTTCTCCTTCATATTTAAGTTCACAAGCTGGTCTCCGAACCCCACTGGGTACTCCTGAAGCACAGACTCTTGCTCGTTGGATCTGCCAGAGTTATAGGTACTTCACCCTGCCTCATCTTTCTGGGATGTATTTTGTTCCTTGAAATATTATTTTGATATGAAGTTGGAAAACTGGATTCAACCTCAAGAGGATTTTTTTGCCTGAACTATGAAAGGGTAGCAGTAGAAACATGATTGTTCATGTAGTTTTGAATGAGATATACTTGTCATTTGGTCTCTTCTGCTTCTACCCTTTGTGATGAGAGATTTGAAAATCTTACTTGTTGAATTTGTTGGCTACTGTTGCATTGATATCTTGTACCATGCATTCATAAAACGTTGCATTTGCTCGGCATTTGTTATAGCAACAATCACAGCAATATTTGAACAAGGGATGATTTGTTAATAATTTTACAGGCTCTACATGGGCGTTGAGTTGCTCAAATCCAACACTGAAGGGAGTGAATCCGTTCTCAAGACCTTGTGGCATCACTCGGAAGCTATCATGTGCTGCACTCTTAAAGTATGTGTGAAGTACATATTTCCTCCATTCCCTTTCCATTTCATACATTAGTGTTGTTTTCCGTACGACTATGTTTTTTTTTTAAATCTAAAACTAATAGAAGTTTCTGCAGGCATTGCCCGTTTTTACATTTGCAAATCAGGCTGGTCTCGACATGCTGGAGACAACCCTGGTTGCTCTGCAGGACTTAACTTTGGAGAAGATATTTGATGAACATGGACGAAAGACTCTCTGCACGGAGTTCCCACAGATAATGCAACAGGTCTAGCATTTCATTCTGATTTCGAACCTGACGGAACATCTTTAAATATGAAAACCCAATTAATGGATAACTAAATTTTACCGAATTGTTTTGTTTTGTGGTGTTAGGGTTTTGCTTGTCTACAAGGTGGGATATGTTTGTCAAGCATGGGAAGACCAGTTTCATATGAGAGGGCAGTAGCTTGGAAAGTGTTGAATGAAGAAGAGAATGCTCATTGCATCTGCTTTATGTTTGTCAACTGGTCTTTTGTCTAAGCTTTTGCACCCGCGTGGTGAGACATTATCGGATAACGTTTTGTTGGTTTGAATATCTGTAGTCGCAAAAAAACCCTTATGTTAAATCTTCAGGTCTGTTATTCCCCAGCACTTTTAATGTAACGAGAACTTTATGCTCGAATCAGTTGGTTTACTATGCATGCGTGTGAAACCATATCTTTACTGTTCAGGATTGTGGAGAATTCAGTTAGGTTCGATCTGGTTGGTTTGGTCTCGACCTTGAACCAGACACTACATACAGCCAGTATGATCTAGTTATTTCTTTGTGATAAACAAAGGCCATTGAAAGGACCGTGGACCAATGTTTGGTCTCGAGGGTCACGTTTCAACTATTAAGTATTGTTGGTTGGTTTAATCACTTGAAAACGTTAGCCAATCAATTTACTAATCGGAAAGTTGGTTGTGAAGCCATTTATCAACTTTATAAGACTGGTGGAGAAAGCACCCGTTCACTGTCGGATGGCTTTCGGATAAAGTAGGTACAATTTAGTGCAAAAAGTTGCGAAAAATATATATTTTGTTATCAAGAATAATTGTGTTTTCTGTGATTATTTCAAGATTCATTTTAAGAATTGGTGATCACCTGCTTGTTTCAGTTGTTCTACCATATAAGAGATAACTAGCACTTAAAATAACGGAGTTCATTTATTGTTACATATGAATTTTATACGTGGAAATGGGATACAAACTTAAAATCAAGTAGTATTTATAAAAGGTTGAGCGCAGATCAGTAAAATGGACAAAGGATGCCAACCCTTCACAAATACTCATTGAAGTTACTATGCAGCAAGCAGAATCTACGGGGTTGAAGGGAAAGGGACGCAAAAAGAAGCATCTAGAGGATCCCCCCAAAAAACCCAACTATATACCGACTTAGCCAAAAGTTGGTTTGAGCTTTTGGTTACAAAAGTCAAAGACCCATATTAGCAAATTAATAAAAATAATTGGACCAAACCCAAAAAAACTATTGTGTTAACAAAAGGTTTGGCCCAGACAGGGAGGAAAAGAATAGGTTAATAAAAATATTATGATGGGGTTGGCTGATAACTTCTCATCTCATCAGTTTGAAACTTTGAGATTGTTGATGTTCCTTGTAGTTGGTGGAATGCAACTGGTGGTTCTGGCAATCCCACCATTCTTCTGACCTCCTGATCTATCCCTAGGGCTAATAGATTTTGCCCTAACACTTTTCGCTTCTCTCGAACTCTTCCTTAAAATTTCCTTCATGGCTTCAGCTGTCAACAGAGCTGGATAAGCCCTCCCAATCTTGTTAAATCTCGCACATGTGTTCATATGTGCACTCAAGGCTTCTATATTCCCTCCATTTTTCTCCATTGCTTCTTTTACAGCCTCGGCACACAGTCCGCATATCCATTTCCCCAAGTACTTGCTGCGGACTCGCTCGATGTATTCCGGAGTGTACTCTTCGCTCATCCCGCAACACTCGCACTTTGCGTCTTCGACTTCGGGTATAGGCGGCAGCTGGTTCTCACACGTTGCGGCTGTTTCTTTGTAGTTATCGAGCACTTCCTTGCTCACTTGGAAAGTGATATCGGATGCGGTCCGGATGAGGGTGTCCTTGGAGAGTTTCGGTGGCAAGGGGAAGTTGTTTCTCTTGGGGTAAGTGCTAGTAGTAATAGCATCTCCATGTGGTGCCATTTTAATGGAAACTTGGTAGGAAACTACCAAGTGATTACGATGAAGAACTAAGGATTGAAGCTTTAATGGAAGTGAAGAACCTTAAATAAACGCAAATGGTGGTGGATAGAGAGTTAAAAGCATGAAACTAGGTTATTTATAGAATGCTGGAACGGAGCCCTTTCTTTTTGTATCTGACAAGTGAAATTATTGTGTGGATCCCGTAGACTCACATGTCGACAATCCGCTTAGAAACATGCTAGATTTTTCAAGAAATGGCAACTTGCCTTCAACTTTTGGGTTTTGAAGCTAACTGTTTCTTCTTAACCTATAGAAAGGAGGCATCATTGTCATATCATGCAAAGGTTTCTAAGATATTTTGTTTGTCAGTGTTCTTCTTCACCACTACTGTTCCATCTGGGGCAGTTGAGTCGGGATCATCATCGGGTGGTGCAATTAATACGAAGCTTTTATGTCATTATAACTTTTTGAAGAAAGAAAAAGAATACCCTAATTACTTAGATGTAGGTGGGGCGTACAAACTTCAAAATTCAGCGGTATTTCCATTTTTAATTTTGTTCAATACATGTACATTCGACCTTCTCAACGTTCACCGGGCTGGTCTGACTCTCAGAAGCTGAATTCTGCAATGCTATTGTAACCCCCCCCCCAAGAAAAAAATCTTTGTTAAGCTTTACAAAATGAAATTTAAATAATTGTTCATATAAAGCATGCAAAAAAGAGTCGTAAATTCACGGGGGGCCAACTACCTTTACTTCTTGGGGACAACCCCAGAGCTTCACGAGAGAAGCAAGCTAAAAGAGGATAAACTCAAAACGTCGTGAACATTAAAAAAAAATTAAAATGATTATAATCTGAGAATTGATAATCAAATGAATTCCCCACTCACATTTGCCAATTATGTCGGTCTCTCATCATGCAAGTATTTACTATTTAAATTAAAAAATGTTTAATTTTAAAAAATAAATTCGAGGAAATTTTAACTATAACTATATTTGATTTAAAAAAATGAAGATCACATTTGTCAATAAAAATAAATGATAACTCTTTTATAAAAATATATTTATAAAAATTGTATATAAAATCTATTGTAAAAATAATTAGTATTTAATCTTATTTAAACTATAAATTGAAATCATTTAAAAAGTTTGTGAATAAGAATTCTATTTTATTTATCACTCCATATGCTTGGGGTCAATTTGGATTTTCACAATGCATTATCTTCTAATTTGGGTCAACTTCCACGTCACCCTTTGATACTTCCATGAAGGAAAGGAAGAAAAAAGGGTTGAGAATAATATATCTTATTATCTTCACCTACAAGGTTCGAATTATTAAATATATAGAGTTTAATTGATATAAGTATTATATATAATATATATATATTTAATTATTAATTAAATTAAGTTGAAATTACAAATATTGAATTGTTGTAACAATTATAATATAATCGAACTAAAACTGATTAATTTTAATTAGATTAAATTTTAAAATTTGATACCTATTAACAACCGGTGAAATCTTTATGGGTGATCAGAACATCATGCTTTAACATTCCTTTCTCATCCCACGAGAACTCTCTTTATGTAAGCAAAGCAACATGAGTTGAATTCACCTCAGAGAAACTGCAGTCTGCTTGCCTCCCATGGCACTACACCTCATGCTTAATACTGTTGTTGGTCGCACATGCAAAACCAAAAATACTGCAGACTGCCAAAAGCAAAGCAATAAAAATTCTCAATTTAATTTGGATTTTACAATATGCAATACCTTTTATCATTTTAAGATCATATTCCATATTTTATACTTTACAGTATACCCATGTCTATATACATGTCTCATGTACGAGTGTTGTACATTAGCATCCAACAGTTTGCAGCTAAAAATGTGGTTAATTTATAATATTAAAAACCCGAAAAAAGGGGGGGATTGTACAAAGTGAGCTTTAAGAGTTGTAAAACATTAAATAACTGAAACAGGACGAACAGCCTTACAACATTGTACGTTTTGATTGACACACGAAAGAAGAAAGAAGGTTGAGTTCGGCCACGTTTGTTCGTCGAAACCCTGAATCGACAATACAAACAAATCTAGCAATGGAACTCACATTGAAATTGAATCTCTTTTATATTTTGTCAAAAAGGTAGACTCTACTTTGTTAAAGCCCATTATTGCTTTGCCTTTGTTTATAGGCTAAGGAAACTCCTCCAGGCGTTCAAAGTCATCGGGCTGCTTCAATCGAGCGTTGGATTTTATAATCCTTTGGCCTAAAATACCCGTCCTACTTTTTGGTGAACTGCTTAATTAACCTAAAGTTAGGTTGCATACATGCATAAAGTTGGGGGTATATATGGAAACAAAAGCAGCCAGTCCATACCTTGCTTCACATTTGGCTTTCTTTTCAAATCTATTTGGTTCACGGAACGTAAGATTACCAATGGGAATAAAAGATTATCAGGAAATAAGATTACTGAGAATGTTATGTTTTGTGTTTGGTTGGTTTAGCAAGAATATAAGATAACCGTGTTTGGTTAAAGAAATAAAAGACTACTGAAATGATATTTGACCAAATTGTCCTTATTATATTTATTTTTTAACAAGTTGAAAATATTTATATTCTTTAAAAAAATTAAATTTATAAAAAATATATATATTTTTTACAAAATTAAAAATATAAAAAGGTTTAATGAAAGGGTACAATTTTATTTTAACCCTGAACTTCATATAAAATTTTAATTATAGACTTTTTTGTAATCTAAAATAGTTTAAGGATAAATTTGTAATTTAACCTTCGTAGAATTTTTATTATTCAATGACAGAATAAGGATATTTTTGAAAGAAAAAAAAAAATAAGGGCATTTAGTAAAAACGTCGGTAATCCAACAATACCTAAGGAAAGGGAGGTAATGACATTCCCGATAATATACCCAAAAAAATTTACTATTGGTAATGTAAGATTACCGGGAATTACATTCCCAGCCAACCAAACGGTGGAAGTAGATTCCATTTCCATGGGAATCTCACGTTCCCCAACCAAACACACCCTAAGTGTTTTTACTCATTATTTGTTTATTCGGGCAAATATAAAATAATGCATTTTGTAAATGTTTATAATATACATGCCCTTTACAGAACATTGGTTTCTTTATCATGATTATTTAGTAATTAATAAAAAATAGTTATACATCTGACGATTTTTAATGTACAAATAATTTTTGTTAATTATATTTAGTGTTACAAATTAAATGAATGAAGAAGTTATATAATATTTAATAATGAAATAGATTAAAGGTATTTAAGATTTTAATTTTATGTCAATAATTGTTCATAAAATATTACTTAAAAATTTACCTTTTTAGTAGATAATACTTATTTTTTAAGGATTTCACGAGTTCAAAAATTATTGAGTAAATTATATAAAATTTTGATTATATCAATTGATTATGTATGGTTATTGTATATTTGTATATACTACTAACAATGTTGAAATAAAATTAATATCATTAATTAATCTAATCATAATTTAATCAAAAAATATTAAAATATTTTTATTTTACATTATGATTATAAAAAAATTCATAATTTTATAATTTACATGTAATAATTAAATAATAATAAAAATTATTATTCATGACTCGAACACATGTAAATATATTCACACACGTAATTTTATCGTTTCACTTATAATTGTTTTAAATATATTATTTATATAAAAACATTACTTCATTCAAATTGTTGATATAATAAAATATCACATACTCACATACATTTAAAGAGTTCGTAAGTTTTAAAAAATCATATATTAGAATGAATTAAATGTTTATATCACAAATAAATATTTAAATATATTATTTTTATTAAATACCTAAATATTTTTAGTCAAAGTAAATATCTAAATTTATCTTTTTGGTCAAAATAGATGCCTAAAGTACTTTTTTTTATAAAAAAAAGTCTAGAGTATTTATTTTGTTGATAAAATATTTTTATTTAATCTCATATTAATATTTTTTAAACTTAAATTAAAAATATTGAATATGTTAAGTACTTATTTAAAAAATATTTTAACTATCTATTTTAATAAAAAAATTAAATGTTTATTTAATAAAAATACTTTAAGTTTTAGATAATAATAATAATAATAATGTCTTATTTATTTATTTATAACATAAGCCTAAATTAAAGTGAGAGGTGAGCGCCGTAATAAACCTACGCTGTACCCACGTTTAAGCAATTTCTCAATTTCCTTTCGTCTTCTCCCCGTTGTCTTTCCCTTTATATACCCCTCCTCTCTTTCCTCAAACGCAAACACAACAACCAATTTCCTTTTCTCTCTCTCAAAAGTCACAAACAGAGAAAAATAGAGAAATAGTGAAGGCAAAGGCGAAAGAAAATGGAACAAAATACACCAACGACGGCCAAAGGAGTATGGAGCATTGTAAAAGCAGTTCTCTTCATGATGAAAAGGAATTGTATCAAAGAGAAAACTCATGGTTGATCTCAACATGATGCTTAAACGCGGCAAGATTGCCGGCGCCAAAGCCATCGACAACCTCATGTTCCACCACCACCACCACCACAACAACAACAACCGCCAGGTCTCAACTTCTTCCACGGCGGCCAATGAGTACGAGTTCAGCTGCAGCAACACCCCGAACTACACCTTCCCTTTCAACCTCAACGCCAAGAAGAAGAACAGCATTAACAACTACTATCACCATTTCTTCGCCTGCACCCACGCGCCTCCTACCCTTGACGACGACATGGCCACCATGAACGCCGTTAAGGCTGCCTTGGAGATGCTCAACAAGAACGACAGCTACAACAACGTGGTCCCCTCCTCTCCTATGTTGCCAGGATTCGGACGCACTCCGTTGGCGAGGCAACTCAGAATAACGGACTCGCCTTTCCTTTAAGGGACGTGGATGAAGACAATGACTACGTCGACAAGGCCGCCGAGGATTTCATCAACAGGTTTACAAGGATTTGAAGAAAGCAAAATAAGGGATTGGCTGATTCATAAAGGGAGCTCCTCTATATGTGTTTATGATGATTTTCCTATAGAATTTTATATATGGTTGATTAATTTTTGGGGATTTTTATTCTGTAGTTGATTTCAACAAATAAAAGAAAATTTACGTGAAAACTACCATTACCGACGAATATTTTGTGACTAACGCATGTTAACGGATTGGTCCAGTATATTGGCTCCTGCATTAAAATCATGTCGTGCCAAGGAAATTTTGTCAGTATATTTGTTCAAAGTAAAACTTTTGCATGAATAGATAGAAAGACTTATTCATTCTGCCTGGCTTTACAATGTTATCTGTATATCTTATATCTAACATTAAATTTATATAATATGATTTATTGGTTGGCTTCAAGTTCACTTAAGAGCATAACCATAAGAAAAGAATATTGCTTCATTACTTGGCTCTCCGGCATCACAATTCCTCGTTTTCCAGGGCCATGCATTTGTCATAGAAGCGTCGCTATGTTTTCCCTACAATTCTTACAGCGACTTTAAGTTTGGGTCATATGTCATTAACAAATTAAGTGCAACCTAAAAGATTGAAGATCAATTATTGTACTTTGATACTAAAAACAAACGATTAGGTAATGCTAATGATTTAGTATTCAAAATCTTAAGTATTCAAAAGGAAGCCAATTCTTTTAAGCAGCTTTACCATATGATCTGATGTTTAAATATATCTCAAATACTTAGATTATAATTTATGTTGGTAATGCTAATGATTTAGTCATTAAAAAAATGTAACGAGGAACACAAACTATTACTTTTGAAAAGTAATTTAAAAGTGTTGTAAAAAAATACTTTTAAAATATTTTTGAAAAATACAATTTAAAATTTAACTATTTAGAATTACTGTCAAATATGATTTTAAAAAGATAAAATATTAATTTTAGACGTTATGTTGTAAATCAAAAATATAATATACGAGGATAAAAATTAATTTCACTCAAAAGTAATTTTCACAATAAATCTAGAAATTGAGCGCATGAGGTAGGTTAAAAATCATTTTTTAACCATAATTTTAAATTAATTTTAGGGTGTTTAACATTGCATATCGGTTGAAAATCATTTTTCATTGCTAGAAGCTTTCTTAAACTGCCCACGTATTTTCTGTTATTTAGTTGAAGAAAATATTGGCAAATTATTTTTAATAATTTAAAATGATATTTATACTCACATTTTTTTATAAATTAAAATATTATAGATTTAAAATACTGATAATAATAATTGAACTATATTCAATGTCTAAATACTAACTCTTCAATAAGTGATTTTTACTCGGTTATATATTGGTCCGACTCGTAATACGTATTGGAATTGATGTTATGAAATTAAAATTTGTATTGAGAGAGTTGTGGCCCAATTTTGTTATATTTTAGGTATCGTAAAAAGCAAAAGTCCCGAAAATGACCCAAAAGGCGAAAAGAATGGGACAGTGGGGTGAAAGGCTGCCACGGCTCCATTATTGAACTCCACACATATCCCTCCCTTTCCGGTTACACACTAGCGTTTGGAGTTGGGAGATTCTACTAACACGGTTAAATATAGTGTACTGGTTAAATATGTGATCGATTAAAAGTATTATAAAATATTATATGTTTTTACGTGGAGAATGGTCTAAAGTACAGTTATTTAACAGGAAATGAAGGCACAAGGTTGCCGAGGACAGGTTACAACTACTTCGAGAAGTAACTGGAGAATTTAGGCCCGGAGATTGACTGCACTGATGGAGTCAGTGGGTGCAAGAAAGACGACATTGATGGATGTTTTAGCGGGAAGAAAGACTGGTGGATATATCGAGGGTGATTAGAATTTCCGGATACACCAAGATACAAGAAACCTTTGCTAGAATTTCTGGATACTGTGAACAAAAGATATTCACTCGCCCCAAGTTAAAGTCAGAGGATCCTTGATTTACTCAGCTTCCTACGGCTTCCTAAAGATGTCAGCAAAGAGGAAAATATGGTAAGAAGTCTCAATTATGTAATTTTCAGTGAAATAAAGCATGACTTAAATTGTTTAATTTAGTCCCTAAACAATATTGCTGTTATCTTTTAGATTTTTTGTGGATGAAGTGATGGAATGGTAGAATTGGACAATCTCAAGGATGCCATAGTAGGGCTGCCAGGAGTCACAGGGTGTCAACTGAGCAAAGAAGAAAGAGGTTGACAATGCAGTAGAGCTGTTGCTAATCCCTCAATTATATTCATGGATGAACCAACATCTGGCCTTGACGCGAGAGCGGCAGCCATTATTATGAGGACTGTCAGAAATACTGTGGACACTGGAAGAACAGTTGTTTGCACTATTCATCAGCCTAGTATTGATATCTTTGAAGCCTTGATGAGTTGCTACTGATGAAAAGAGGTGGGCAGGTGATTACTCCGGATCACTAGGCCGCACAACAATATCATTGAATATTTCGAGGTATGTAACTATAGCATGGTCTTCAATATCTAATACACTAATCTAAAGTAGAAAGAAGGCATCATTGATTCCTCTCTTGTTCACCATGCAGTCCATTCTTGGAATCCCCAAAATTAAGGACAAGTACAACCAGCTACATGGATGCTAGAAGTGAGCTCTGTACCTGCTGAAGTTAGGCTCGGAATGGACTTTGCCGAACACTATAAATCATCATCCTTGTATCGGTAAGTCGAGACATAAGCAATACCGACACTAATTCAATTGTTTACCTTTTCTTAGTAACATATGTGTCTGTGAAACAGGAGAAACAAGGCATTAGTAAATGAGTTAAGCACACCACCCCCGGGAGTGAAAGACTCTATTTCACCACTCAGTACTCGCAATCAACATGGGGTCAATTCAAATCATGCCTTTGGAAGCAATGGTGGATTACTGGAGAAGTCCAGATTATAACCTTGTCAGATATACTTTCACTTTGCTCTCTGCACTCATGGTCGGTACTATTTCCTGGCAGGTCGGCACTAAAAGGTTAGTACCTATTTTCATGCTTATAATGCTAACAATTCTTATTCTTTTGTATCTGCAATAAACCCGATGCTTCAAGGTTCAGGGAATCCACAACTGATCACAATGATAATTGGGGCAATGTATGCTGCGGTCTTGTTCGTCGGAACATTGAAAGAACAGTGTTCTATCGTGAAAGAGCAGCTGGCATGTACTCTGCGTTACCTTATGCCTTGCACAGGTGAGGGGAAATCCATTGATTTCATTAGTCTCTTAATCTGTAAGTTCAAATGATTAACCTATATAAGGTGCTAAATGATTAAACTTTAATTATATGGAATGCAGGTGTTTGCGAAATACCTTACATTTTTGTCCAAACAACATACTATACACTCATTGTGCTATGGTGGGCTTTCAATGGACGGTGGCAAAGTTCTGGGTTTTTTTTTTCATCAACTTCTCCTTCCTTTACTTCACATTCTATGGAATGATGACTGTTTCCATCACACCAAACCATCAAGTGGCAGCTATTTTCGCCGCAGCTTTCTATGCACTCTTTAACTTGTTCTCCGGTTTCTTATTCCAAGACCGGTACGTTACTTCTTTCACAAGAAATTGAGATTGTTTTTAATCATGTCCACAATCAAAGCTGATATAAAATCCATCACTTCCTTGAAATTCAGAGAATCCCCAAGGGGGGTCTGGGTATTACTGGATTTGTCCGTGGCATGGACGGTTTACGGACTGATGGTGTCACAGTATGGAAATATCGAAGATACCATTAAAGCACCTGGCATCACGCCTAACCCTACGTTAAATCATATATCATAGATCACTATGGCTACGATTCGGACTTCATGGGACCAGTTGCTGCAGTTTTGGTTGGCTTTGCAGCGTTCTTCGCCTTCATGTTTGCAGACTGCATAAGGACATCAACTTCCAGACCAGATAGACACCAATGGATTATGCATGAAATTCTTCTGGAGCATGTGTTGTACTTTTACAAGCAAAATGGACCTTGTAAATATTGACAATAGAGAGCCATCCAAAAATTCCAAATCTCATCTCCAGTTTCATTATTACTGTTGTTGTTCTTAATTTAAATTCGTGTAAGCATGATAGCATAGGTGATGACGATGGGTTTAGTTGCAAGTAGAAAATGTTACAAAAGTTGTAGCTGGAAATGTAAAGTTTGTTGAATATAATCTCACAAGGGAATCAATCATACTGTTCTACGTGACTTGGTCCAGGTTCAATTCATGAATTGCAACATTAGCTAGCTTTATACTTGGTCCTCTCATTTATAATTTTCAAAAATAAATAAATAATATCAGAATTTGATGTTATCAAAGCTTATGGTTCATTGACATTGAAAAAACTTTAGTTAATATTAAGTCTCTGTCGATATCTTTACATAATCCTTTCTTCAAAAGAAATCATGTTAACTTTACATAATCCTTTTCTTCAAAAGAAATCATGTTAAACAATCAAATAATTGACAGGAAAAAAGTGATTATTTTAATTAAAATAAAATTAAGTCAAAGAAAGCATGAAAAAATGGTGCTACGTCATGGACTTAATCGAAGAATTTGAGATATTGAAACAGAAATTTGGAAGTGTCAAAGATGGAATGCTGAAAAACCAACCATAAATGACAAGTGGACGGTGAGCGCCAAACTTTCGTACGAGTTTTTGGTTGTTGGGCCCAAGTGGCTGAATTCCACACAATTGCTTGACGACGTAGCTCACATATGACGAAGTCACACACGCAATTTTACAAACAAGTGGCGGCTGTTCTCGCCATACCTCCAAATATCAACTTTCAACCATTGTTATTACGTTAGCAAACGCCAGTAAAAATCTTTGTAAACTCTCCTATATTTTCCATTGAAATATATTTTAATAGGTTAAGTTTTATAATTATATTTCTGAAAATAGCATATATTATTATATTCTAAAATATTTTTAGAAAAAATATTAATTAAATGATATATAGGTTTTAAATCTGTGGAAAAAGTTTAATGCATACGTAATCCCCATGTTATTGGAATCAAGAGGACGGCGCATGAGGGTAGCTTAAAAATCTGACTTTACCACAAAGTGGTCCAAATTCCAAGGTCTCAAAGAGTCGAGTCCCGACGAATCAATTTCAAACTCAGAGGGAAATTCCAAATTCCTTTTCGCACTTCTAATTTGCTATCGTAAAAAACAATATGAATTTACAATATAATTAAAAATATGGTGATAATGGATTTTATAATTTACAAATGAGATTAAAAAAACTTAAAAGGTTATCTTTGAAAAAAAAATACGATGATTTTTTAATCTCAAGTGTATAAAAGTTCAAATATTATGTGCTAAAAATACTTTTTTATGGGTGTGACAAATATAATATACAATAAAGTATTTATTTTTTTATGAGTTAAAAACTCTACTAAATCTCGACATTACTGGGGTGTCTAAGGAAAGGCAGCCAAGGCTAAGAAAAAGTGCTACCGTAAATATTAATATATTTTTAATATTTTCGATAAAGCGTTACCTAAAATATTATTTTTTTACCTGAAATATTAATATCGAGCGCTATTTAAAATGTTATTTTTTCTACATAAAATGTTAATATCAAAAATATTCATTTTAGATAATGAAATTCACATTTCTAATAGAAAAATGATATTTAAAGTATCGTTCTATTATAAATATTAAAAAATTATTAACATTTTTAATAACGCATTTCCTTAGACTTATTTTAGGCTATCGTAGAAAAAAACTAGCCAGATTTACTGCTTTCCTCTACCATCTCATCTAGGGATGGCAATGGGTCGGGTCGGGTCGGGTTTTTTGGTCACCCGACCCGAGAAGAAAGGGTCCTTCAGCCGTGATCCGACCCGAAAAATTCCCTAAATATAGGTAAAATTATATATATTTCGGTCGGGTCGAATTTTTTCACCCTAAACCCGACCCGACCCAAATCCGATTTTTTTTAAAAAAATCCGACTCGATCACCCGATCAGATCGAGTCGGAATCTATGGGTTCGCATTGAGTTACCATCCCTAATCTCATCTTTGAAAGGAAAAAAATATCAAAATTTTCAGTCCACTGTGTCATATCTTAAAGCAATCAGGTGCGGCCTCGTGTTGGACAGTTTTAAATTTATCCTATGATTAGATTCTCCAATGATTGGATGGATGTATATGTCTTGTATTATTAAAATAAAATTTGACCACTCATTTACTGAAATATAAATTAGATAATTTGTTTTTTAATAAGTACAAAAAATAAAATTGACCGCGAATGTATATATATATATATATTATATATATATATATATATATTATATTTTGTATTTTTTAATGAATAAAATGAATTCATTTAACGTTATATCATATTAATAGTTTTATTATATATATAGTCAGAGATATAAAACATTGTCTTGAACAGAAAATGTTGAGAGATTTGATTAGTGGGTTGGGAATTTCCCCTCCGCTAAAAAGGATATGCTAATAAGTTTTATGCCATGTTGATAAGATTTAGGAGAGTCAAGCTTATCCTATTTAAGGTTTAAGGACAACAAACTATCTAATGATGGATCATGCTAAGGTAGATAACTATTATTTATTGTTACATACTTATAATAAGAATTGAAACTCAGTTGGTAGAGCACAAGGCTCTTAAACTTGGGGTCGTGGGATCGAGTCTCACGGAGGGCATTCATAATTCGGAGGTCTCATAGGGAAGCTGCTCTCAACCTGGCATTGGGGGCAACCTACTATCCTACCTACCCCTTACCCCATTACATATGGGAATGAGGGAAGATTGATATTCGCTCAAATAGAAAGTCCAATTCATTTTTGTCAAAATTAGATCAAAGTTTTGAGACGATTTTATATGAATACAAAACGTTTAAAGATTTAAGTATTGTTATTAACAAATTAAATATTAATTAAAGGGTGTTTCTTAGTAACAAGTAAATGAATTTAAAATTTTGGATTGAAGAAAATATGTGATGAACCTTATACAAATATATGTATATGGAAAAGATTAGATACCTTAGATTTAAGTATTTGCTAAAAGATACTTAACTCTTAATCTTTTGACATTAAACGCTCGTATCCCTGACATTACTGATGTTCGAGCCCGAAACATTAAGGAATAATAATAATTCATTTATCACTAAGGTTACTGGAGTTCGTGTTAACCCTTGAACTCATATTTCATTACATAGTGACAAAGTCATAATTAAATAATTTGAGCATTAAATACTTCAAATATTTAAAGAAATTTTTTTTAAAAAAAACCATCAAACCTCTATTATCTTATTTTTCATTGTTTGCAAAAAAAAAAAATCACTAACAACCAGTCACTCAATCTATTAAATAAGGTTAGAAAGTTGAATATTGAATTATAAATGAAATAAATTGAATTAGAAAAATTATCGTTACAATATTATGTAACATTTAATAAATTAATTAATTAAATAATTAAATATGGATGATTAATTAATAAAAAATCTCCACGATTTCAGCAATTCAATATGGGAATGGCTAAATTGAAGATTTATTTGGGGTTCGAAGATGACGACGACGAAGAAAAATAGGAGATTAAGGGTTTTTAAACAAAAATTAATAATCTAAATACAATATTTAACTTTTTATTTAAAATTATCACAAAATTTTAATTGTTGATACAATTTTAAAATGCTACATTATTACCTGATTAACAGTTTATAAAAAGATAGACGTCATAGTTTACAAATTGGAAGGTCCATGTGAAATAATTCAGACTAATATAAAAATAAATATCTGTTTTTGAATTAAATTTATAATTAAATAAAATAAATTATCAATCATTAAATATAAATTATTTTTTTATTAAATTTATTAAAAATGCGT